GATTAGTCCTCAGGAAGCCCTGGTTGGCTCCCTTGTGGAGAGATCAATGACCATTGATCTAGAGATAGTATTAGATCTCGAGTGAGGAATTCAGTTGTAATGGAGACCCGCCTCAGACACGAGATATATGACAGCTTATGTCTGCAAAGATCAAAAGTTTCAATAGAATCTGCTGTTTGGGCCTAAGTAGGAGTCAGGGGGAGCCGGAGTTTACCTCCCCCCTCCCCCCCCTTTTCTTGTTTTACTGTGCTTCAAGGGAGTATTTTGGAAAGCGATTTGATTTCCAGGTAGCTAAGGAGGTTCTCAGCGCAGCCCGTTAGGAATTGGACGATTCTCTTAAGCTAAACTGGCTGTGGCTGCCAGGATAACTCCGGGTTGAATTGTGAGGTCCCCGGCCTTGGCTTAACTTGTTTTAATAAAGATATATGCTTTCCAAAAAAAAAAAAAAAAAAAAAAAAAGCCACTCCTAGATCTGCATTCGCCTCACTTCAATAAAACGGCCACAGCTTCAACCCCCCGCATATTCTGAAACTCAAACAATGACATCAGTGGCACTTTTGTCTTTTCTTGCCTATTTCAAACTAGAAAAGTAACTCAGGAGCAGTTTCCCCTTTCTTGGTCCAGACGCTAAAAGCCTGTGTTGCTGGCGTAAAAATATGGATCTTTGGATTTATGAATATGGGACGCTTGGCCCGGTTCCCAGCACGTGCTGCTCCCCGCGAATAGATTGGAGCATTTGTTTCAAAAAAAAAAAAAAAAAAAAACGCTCGAAGCGCTCCCAGGGAATTCATCAAACAGAACTGCCCAGTGAACCGGAGGCAGCGAGGGAGACGAGGACGAACTGCCCGGTGAACCGTGGGTAGAGGGGGAGAAGAGGACAACCATCATTTTTAATATACTTATTTCTCTGTCCCGCCGATGTACGTAAAGATCTACGGGCCTTGCCATACCCTTCTTGAAACGAGAAGAGTACAACTGAATGACACGATTCAAGCTATGCCCTAGAAACGTTCAGGCTCATCGGCTATCCAATGCTAGTAGTCTTCGAGGAGATGTGGGAAGTGGGAGACACGCTAGAACTCTAAGACTTTCCTCCCCCTCCCCCCCCCCCTACCTTTTCAGAGGAGAAGCCCCTAACGAAACTGTGTCCGTGTGACTTCATCGGAATGCGAACTCATGATCTGTTCATCACCAGTGTACAGGATTCAATCCGAGACAACAGGTATAAGATTCCCACCCCAACCCCTTTTCCGCAGATTACAGCCAAAAATTTCAAGTTGGGCACGGCGAGGGAAGTTCGGCCCGGTAGTACCCAAGCCGAAGGCTGTGGCCATGTGGGCGTAAACAACCCAATAGGTTTTTTTTTTTTTTTTTTTTTTTTTTTTTT